GTGTGCCCGCCGAACGATCCTTTTTGGTTTCGTAGAGTTTTGAAAACCATTTTTTTGAACATGTCGACACATTTGGAAGCTTTGGACACCTACGAAACCTCTTTGATGGGTTTGGTAGAATACCTTATTTTTTTTCAGTGTACTTGAACTGTTTGTTCGGTGTAAAATAGTATGAAAAAATGTTGCGAGATTAAGTTCAATTTATTATAGAATGTGTTAGGTATTTCATTATAATCAAAGTACAATACGGCTGAAACAGAAAATTGTTCCAGCGGTGAATATGAATCGATGATAAAATGAATATAAAACTGAAAGGTCGTGTTCTGTACATATGCTAACTAGGTGATGAACTTGTTCCACTAGGACATAGCACTAAACTGAAGTCGAGCAGGATTTCCAGACCAGTGGGTACCTTGTCGTAGATGTTCTTCCTTCATGATTAGCGTCAATGGTTCAATAACATTAGCACCCTCGAGAACAGCACCAGGAAAAATAAATGATTTTGATTTGATGATGGAACTATGGCCGACAGTGACTGGAGCCAATTTATAAAAGCGCTGCTCGAATGTGTGACACTGAAATTATTTACCTAAGTGTAGCGAAATCGAAAAGATAATATAATAACTCACTTGAAGAATGGCTTCATTATGTATGCGTACATGCTCGCCAATTGTGGTCAGATGATAATCTGTGATGTTTGCTAACGTTGATAAAATAACATCGAAGCCTTTTATTCGAACGCCAAGACCTCTTGCCAAGTAGATGAGCCATTGCGTACCACCTATGAACGGTTGGAGGACATTTGTCCAGTTCATTGTCAGTTTAGCAATTAATGCATGGAACCAGTTGTTTGTTGTTTCCTCAAACGAATACGTTCCCGGTTTCGTTTGTGCATAGTATTGATTGAGGTAGCAAGTTAGAATACAACAGAAAAACACGAGCATAATACATATGATGAGAGAATAGTTTGTCATTAATCCAAGCTGAATAGTTGATACGATGAGTGCAAATATTGTATTGGAAGCAATTTCTAGAAAGACTGTTTTGAGAACGGTAAATTTGGTTTTGGTGGAATGGGAATCACTAGTGAGAGAAGGTTGAATAAATGGCATTGAACGAGCGGGTAGACCAAGAAGTACACTTGCATCGACACAGTGTGTATTTTGAGTCACCTTTGTCAATGTACCGACGAGTGTGTGAGATGGTATACGAACTCTGGGATGAATCAAACAGTGATTCCCAAGAGTCACGCCTTTTGCTAAGTACAAGCGATCAACAACGCATTGTCCATTTGTATCAACATCAAAAGGAACCAAATGTACGCCTCCAAAAGACGTCACATCCTCTGCAATCGAAAGAAGATGGGAAGGAAAACGAAGAAACGGAATAACATCAGCAATCTCAATATTAGTGCCTTGAACATTTGCACCTAGCCATGAGAGTAAAACGAGAGAAAAGCGTTGATAGCCACCCATGACTTGCGACAGCGGATAATTGAAAAAGGAAATGATCAGTCGACGAAGCCACAAACAACGGAGATAAGTCCATGATTGAAAATCATAGCTGCCAGGTTGTATATTTCCTGCAACGAATTTAAGCGCGAGCAAGGCAATCATGGCTGATGATAGAATCCATATAATGAAACAAAGAGCAGTAGCGAAAACACTTGGAAGCATAGGTATGTAAAGAGTATAGGTAAGTCTGAACGACACGGCATAAAATGTAGTTACAGCCAGAAATGATAAGAGTTGAAACATTGGAACCCAAGGTGACCAATATGAACATGACGTGTGTCGTACAGCAGAGCCAACAAAAGTCCCTCTAACAGCTGAATACGACTCTACAAAAGATCCATCTTGCACTTGTGTATCTTCATAAAGAACGCTGCGCGGTCCGATGACACACGAAGTGCCGATTATAATTGGATGAAGTTCAAACGTTTTGCTTTGATACGATGCATTATTGAAATAGACTTCCTCACCAATAAAAGTTTCATCGTCTATCTCGATAAGCCACGGAACGTCAATAAATGCTGTATAAATATGCACATTAGACCCAATATGAGCACCACACGCACGTAGATAAGCATTATAGAAAGATGTTCCGGCAAGAGAATAGAGCCAACAAGTGCTATTTAATGTCCATAGTCGATTGAGAAACCACCATGCATAGTAAGAGCAAGAGAAGAGATATTCTCTTTTTTTCTTGACTAACGGATTCAAAATACGTGCCGATACAATATAAGAAGTCAGATGAAAAGAAGCAATAAAAAGAATTGCGAAGACCATCGGAAGCATAGACTTGTAAGCAATCCATACTGGAAATATCCATAAACTCATTAAAAGAAGAACGCCAGTTGTTTCAATGATCAACGACGGTTGTGGATATGGAGACGAATCGTAATATTTTGCTATTTCAGGTGATTTGTCATCGTGTTGAAGAAGAAGAAATTCAAGTGCCGTGGCCAACTGTCTAATAGATGGATTGGCTAAAAGCAGATTTACGTCCGTATTTTTGCATACTTTTTGTTGAATTAGTGAAAGAGCACGTATCACTCCAAATGATGTGCCACCAAGTTGTCCAAATGAACAAGTGACATCAATGACATCGAGATCTAAGTTAAATGCTTTACTGAATATTTCTCGAAGCTGTCTTTCCAGAAATGTCGTTGGTTGATTGATGTTTGGCTCATGCGAAGAACATTCGACATGAGGCAACCGCTTTCGATCTACTTTCCCATTCTTATTCGTTGGAAACGAGTCTAAAAGTAACCAATTCGAAGGAACCATGTATGATGGTAAGTATTGTTGACAGTACAAAGTAATTTGTTCGCAAAGTTTGTTTTTGTCATTAACCGAATTCTGATGCACCATTAAATAAGCAACCAGAAATACTTCATTGCCATGCTCTTCTTCTAGTTCTTGCTTCATGACAACACAATTTTGAACTATAGGAGCTGCAGCTAGTATAACTGATTCGATTTCTCCCAAATCGATTCGCTGCCCTCTTAGTTTAACTTGATGGTCTCGACGTCCTTTGAACTCTAGTTGTTTGGTTTGAACATTTAGTTTGGCAAAGTCACCTGTTCGGTAAAATGTCTGTTCATTAAAAATAAACATCACTTGTGGAATGTCATGATCGTTGCATTGATTACAATAACCAGCAAACACACCCGCACCTGAAAATAAATACTTTAGGGAAAAGATTTAAGGGAGAAAAGGCGGTTCCTGGATCCTGTTAAATCCTATTGGTTCCTGATTGATCATCGTAGATGTTTCAAAAGATTNTTTAATGAATCACTCCATTTATTGACGATATTTCCGATATGTATGAGTGGAAATATTTTTCAAAGCATTTGCGGAAAAACATCACACACCCTCAAATCAAACTATTTGTCGTATATGTTTCAAAAGATTTTTAAGACGCTATTAGCTTAGAATTTTCTTGCTTGTCTCACACAAGTGTCAGTCTAGAGTTTTTTATGTTGCATAACCTTAGTTGTGAGTGTTTTGTGCTATGATCTTTTCTCATTATTATTCCGTTTAAAAGGCAAGTTTTCGTAATTATTGATATCTTGCAGAATAAAAAGCTAAGATATGGAGGACTCTCAAAATGACATATGTTCGATAAAATTTATGATTTCATTTTTTTACTAATACACTGGAAAAGATTGAATAATTCATAAATACAGTAGAACCTCTCATAGTGGGCACCTCCGTATAGTGGACACTTTGAGCTCCGACGGACCGCTTTTTGCTCTAATTGAACGTCTACATAGTGGATACTCTCTATAGTGGACACTCCCGTATAGTGGACATTTGATTATAATTATACACGCTGAAGATTTTTGAAATGCGTATTGGTGCTCAATAGAGCAATTCGACTATGTTTTTTAAAACTATTAA